TTTTAAAATTTAAAAAGTTTTCACCGAAAACCGAGGTTTTCTGAAAAATCCGTTAAAGTAAAGTTTTCAAAAACGAAATCTGACTTCACAGTTGGATAGAGCGTAGTCGATAACCTATAAAAATATACTTTCCATTATTTTAACACTTGTATGTTTCGTATAAAATCACATGTCCGCTTGCTCTAGCCAAATATGCCCACTGTGCGCTGGTCCCACTAATCATTAAAAGCACTGAATCCCTGTCCACGTCCTTCTTTTATCAACTTTTTGCTTAGAGAGTTTTTATTTAATTCATTATTATTTTTAAAACTCTTCAGTTCTAACATTAAATAAGCGATATAACAACGAAAGAAAAGAGCGCCGTCTCTCATAAGTAAATGAGTTCTCTCTTTTTGGCTGTTTCGCGCCGTACTTAATTAATGAGAGATTTTGGCGCTGCTTTTAATATTTCTATGATCATTCTACTTTGCTGTGACCTGTTTATTCCATTTTCGGCAATTGGACATCATTAAATGTCCTAATTTTGTCAAATTTTAGAGATTACTACAGCTACAGAAAAAAATCAGTATAGGTCGAATTTGGCGCCAATGAAAATGCAGGAACCACTCCTGTGGAGAGAAACAATAGGATCGCAACCGTCCAAATTTTATGGAAAAAGGTGGCATTCCTATTAAATGTACAAAGGTTTTAGACCATAGGGATCATGACTACACAGTCCGTTTCTCTACACCGGCCCGTCGGCTCAGGTAGGGTGTTCCTATATGACGTAAAGGTCAACTTTTGGGAAAATGATAGTTCTTCAACCGTGCAACGCACAGAGTTGGGCAACTTCTTCTTTTGTAGCGTAAAGGTTTTTCTTCAAATGGTAACTAAGCAAAGTTGAGCAGCTGACAACTCTCAGTGACAAGATGTTTCTGATATACGCCAGTTTCGTACCAAAGAGCCTTATTGACATGAATTATAATTAAACTGTAAGTCATTAATTGCAGCAAGTTGAGGATAAAAATCTAGACCTGTAGAATATTACGAATAAAAAGGACAAAAAACGATAAAGCGGACAATTTTTCTTTTTACAGATGTCGCTAAATTCTTCCAATGTCTAATTGATGAAAAGCTATATTTCTAATATTTCTCCTTCCTCGTTGTCCTAACAAGATTCTTTCACAGTAGAAATTCACGCGTTTTTTTATCACACGCACACCTGCAAAGTTATTTGTGAGTATGTGATGGAGGAGAAGCAGCATAAGAGTAAACGGTATTTTCTCTTGTTCTTTTTGATATTATCTGATAAAAAAACATATTGAATAGAGAAGTAAAAGGGCAATCAATCAAGTGAACGGGTATTACTAAATCGAATATATTTTTTCTCGAAACATTATACTTTTTGATTGATTGCCATTTTACTTGTCTATTCAATATGTTTTTATCAGATAATATCAAAAAGAACAAGAGAAAATACCGGTTTCTTTCTTCTCTTTCAATCAAAGAGAAATTTTGTCGTGTGCAGTTCTTTCTCGTTCTCGATAAGCAGTACTTTAATATCAGTAATTGTTCTAGTTCAATCTTCCATTGCACTATCTACTAAAATATAATAAAATAAAGTGTTCAAAGTCAAAATGTTATCTCTAACCATGTGTCTGGCAATGATGACAGGTAATAGAATTCTTGTATTTGTTATGTAGAAGAGAACCGTCATTCTGATCGATAATAAGGCAGTTGATTCTGCTAATTTTGGTACATTCATCTATGTAGATATCAGAAAAGAACATTGTATAACTTTTTTTCTAAGCGCCCTCTTTCTATACTGGTTTTTTCATTTGGTTTGTGTGGATGCTGTGGTGAGTTTGCGGTTGCCGCAAGATCAACACTTGAGGATTTTCTTCTGCTGCCATGTGCGGTAATACGGACAAAAAGGACAAAGAGCCTAAAAAGAATAATAAGGATAAAGAGCACAATAAAGATAAAGGAGATACTCACACTTGTGCTTAACGAAAAAGCTGCTTGAAAGTTAGGGAAACTTTCAAGTTCTGCGTTTATTGGAAACACTACTAAAACATACAATGTTATTGTGGAACCCGCTTGTTATTGCGACGTTCACTTCCGTTTGCACGAAAGTAAACACTTTTACTGGTTACTAGTGATACAATGATGAATGCAATTATGAGAAGACGGGAATACGCGTATCTGATCGCTATCTCACAATGATACCAAATAAAGGAAATAACAAATAGCTTCTAAATAAAAATCAAAGCTTTTATCGCTTAAACTACCGTGTATTATAGAACAGTTGATGGACTCACCTCCGTCAATCACATTTTTACCATTTACAACTGATACAGTGATGAATGCAATTATGAGAAGAAGGGAATACGCCATTTCTGTTTTCTGACCGCTATCTCACAATGATACCAAATAAAGGAAACAACAAATACTTATAACTACCCCCTACACTATATGTAGGATTTAAAACTATTTAAAACGTATAAAACAAAAAGTATCAAATTTTCAAGAATAATATCCAATAGCAGAGACTTGAAACTAAGCCTTCAATTATTTTGTTATTATTACAAGAAAATCAAAAAGCACATCTTTTATTGTGTTAAAGGAGATAGACGAGTAAGCAAGGCAATCTTTTGATGTAAAACATGTGGAGTGATATCAGCAATATATTCTATCACTTAGTTTAGAAGAAATTTTCTATAAGCTTTCTGACGGAAAACGTTTTCTTCAAATAGATGCAATGTTCAACGCTGGCCATGAATCTGAAGTTGAACAGATTGAGTTTTTCTGTCTAGAGACTGTAAGCATGTATAGTATGTACACGGCAAACTCTATGCTACAATGCATACAAAACGGGATTTTTATTACTTAAGAATTGTACAAAATGTGCAGAAGTGTTATTAATAGGCTATATTCTCAAAAATATCATTCATTTATATTAACAAGGTGAAAAGCGCAAGATGAGGATGCGCGCCGATGTTCAAACATAGTACCTTCGGAGTACTTAAGAAACAATATAACTACCAGGCTCAAGACAAAAGAAAGATTTTATTATTTTTCGTCAATTTGTGTTCGCAAACACTTTCAAATAGTCTACGTAGTTCAGCATACTTATCTCTGTCGTAACATCGAAGATCTGTAATATCATCTGCTTTATACGACAATGATAATAATTTTGCTAATATTGGAAATTTAGTATTGGAGAGACGATGTAGATTGTATTCTTTATTAAAAAAAATCTGTTTGTTCGTATTATTAATTATTTGATGACTACTCATTTTTGTTCCATGTAATATACGTCCAGTGATGTTCGGTATATAGTGGCATGCAGTCGATCGGTAACGCTAATAGGTTACAACCCTCATCGATTGACGAATGTGAGAAAAATTCAGATTGGACTGATAGGGAATTTTACAGCCGCCATAATAACAGATTTTATTGGTTGTAGCAAGCAATAATTCAAAATAAAATCTGGATTATATTGTCAAAACATTTTCTGCATAAATAAAGGAACAAAGCTCAAGCTTTTTTGGGTTCGTATCGGTAAATAAGTTTTTTTGTTGATAATCTAAAACCGTTTAAATTATATGAAGATAATTAGTAAACATAGTATTTTATAATGGCGGTGTGATACTTAATGGATAAGGATGAATTTGGTAGTAAGCGATATGTTATTGATACAGTGTTGCTATTCCAGTTTGAAAAACGTTAGAACCAATTAATATTTCATCTTGGACGACAGACCTGACAGATATAACACCACTTTTCAACAGCATCGGTGTACTAATGTATACTTCTTCATTATTCCAAGCATTTTGTCATCCACCAACTAATATAGAAATAGTACTTTAATATAGTAAAGTAAAAGATAGTAAATTCAATAATGGATCTTAACGTTTACTTAGTTCAACAGTAACAGGTTTGATTATTGCATTTAATATATCATTAATTCTATCAGAATCTTCTTTTTAATCTGTTGTTTTATAGTTAAAATCATACACAGCAGAAGCTACATCGCGATTAGTATGCGCATTAAAACATAACCCTAAATCTTTTACAGCATAACTTTTAGCTGACGGTTGATAGTCAAATATATCTTTCTACGTGATTTATTAATTTTGACTTGGATAATTTATTGGTTGTTGCTGTACGACTATTTGTGAAGATGCATACTAATTTTTTGTTTGAGAATAATAGCTATCATAGGCTGCTGTAAAATAAGTTGCAAATTTAATAGTAAATAATGTTAACGACAACAATAAAATAATGATTTTAAATACAATATCGCAGATTATATGGAAGGCATTCATAATGCACATCCGACTTTAGGTTGGGAAGTGAGTAAACGGGAAGCCGAACATATTCCAACGAAAGGAGATTGTAACGATCACGGGGTATCTCTCTCTTCTACATTAGTATATATTTTAATGTAATTGTAGTGTTTCTGTATTTTATCTTTGTTTTTTATCCGGTTCACTCTTTACGTTTTTATATTTGTATTTTTGTAAGAATGATTCGGCTCACACTCTGTACTTTTAGCTTACCACGCAGGAGCCGAATTTTGGGTTGTAAATGAATTTTGATATTATGCAGCTGTCTTGGGTTTTTAGGAAAAAAACTAAAATTTATAATAACATCAAAAAGAAGAGGATGAATCTTATAAATTGTAACAATATAAATAACACTTCAACCGTTACAGGATGTAGGCGAGAGGTAAAATGAAAGTATAGGGCATTTTCCGATTTTTTTCGCGGGCATAATAGAAGACCACTGGTTATGGAATGGGAATTGAAATCGATTACGATTCAATTGAAACTGCTCATCGTATCCCGGCTAAACAGAAGAAGTTAGATGCTCTGAAATATCCACCGGTATTAATAGCAAGATTTCATTCTCAACCGATTTGTCGTCAAATTCTATCTTTGAAAGGAGCTCTGTCTCAACTACATGCACAACATCCATTTTCAAAAGTGAAAATATCCGAAGATCTATCGCGACACAACCTTGAAATCTTCTCAACAGCACGAGCAACTTCCTCTCAGCGCGGACAACTTTCCGTTCTTTTACTTCAACACGTTGCGAGATAACTAGGAGTAGTGCTTGTTTTCTTTTTTATCAGACTGATGTCACATAATTTAAATATAATAGGAGCACATGGAAATTTACAAATATCACTTTTCAACGTGTCTAGTCTTCTATCGCTTGAGTTTCCAAATGCATGTAAATCTGACACCCATGGTGAGGTTGCCTATTGTATGCCCATTAAGATTTAGATATAAAGCGGCATCCTAATTTAGAAACCGATGATCTAGAACGAATAATATTTACACTAACATCTGCTTCAAAACAGAAATATCTTTTCTTCTTGTGTTATCGACCTGATCATAATGATTTGTATGATATCTGTAACCAAATAAATAACGTTCTTATATACTTTGCAACTAAAAAATGTTTCTTTGATGCAACTATTATTTTAGGTGATTTAAATACTCATTGTTCAGACTGGTGTACATCCAGTAAACCATCGACTCCCGAGGGAATTGTGTTGTGATACCAGTAGTAAAGGATTTGTCCAGCTAATTAATAAACCTATAGGTTACTAGTCGGATAGTTTCAGACACATGTTTAGATATTATAATTACTAACAACATAACCAGAATTACTAATGTTTCAAATAATACCAAACATCATTAAAATGCTCATCGATACTGACCATCCTGGAGTGCAATTCACATTATTAATAATAACTGATCATAACCCACCAACTAGGTGCCTTATCTATGATTATGAAACTGTCAGTTGTGTTTTTTTCGTAATAAACTCAGCTTAATTCCATTTAATCGATTACCAAAAAATCATACAAATGTATACGAATATCATACATGTTTGACTTCCATCCTCTTAGATTATTCAAGAGCCACTATTTTAAATAAATGAATCACACTTTCATGTAAGGATATACTAAGAAGAAAAAGACTAAACATCACAACAATCGATATCAGTAGTGAACCGATTATATTCTTACTCTTATTTTAACTTAAAGAAGTTGAATGATAATTTACAGAGAGCGAGTTGAGAGATGTGAGTGGAATTGCGTGTACTTATTTTGAACTCAAATTCTTACTAATTTTGAAAAGTGTTGCATCATGTTCTCGAAGAGAAAACCGGGTAAAACATGATGAAATCGAATCCTAACTGTCATAAGAAAATTCATTCAAGATGAGTTTTCTTGCCCATAAAAGTTGTGTTTTTTTAGTGTTCTTGTGGCAAGAAACGAGCTTTCATGGGATGAAAAAAACGGTTTCTGCCTTTCTTAAGGCCAAGATCTTGACAAAGAAGTAGAAAAGAAGTTTTTTGCAAGATTTTTTCTTGTCATTAGAAAATCTTTATGGCGAAAATTGATTACATCATGTTCTCGAAGAAAAGTCCGAGTAAAACACGGTGTAACCAAAATTTTTCCTCGCGCCTTGCATGCTTTAATAATCCTTTTTTAGATGGTTTTACGGTAAAGTATGTGGTGTTGAGAAAACTGAAAATGAGTTCTTCAATATCTTAGTTTTCTATGTGGAATCTTTGATCTTAGCAGAACTCAGAGCGAGAAGTCCGATCTTTGCTTTTCTCTTCTTTGCTTTTTTGAAAAGCATGTTTACAGTACTTCTTTTTGATATTTGTATCTCTTATTGTATCTTTACTTTTCTTACTTTGTTTGTGTTGTTGGCTTGGATCATTGTTATTTTAGATCACGGACCCTTGATGACTCTCGCTTTTCGTGAATAAAATAAAGTAAAGTAATAACTCTGTGAAGAACTAAGTTATCTAGTTATCGCACGATGTTTTACCCGGTTTTTTCTTCAAGAACATGGTGCAAAAGGGTGAAATGTTTAATGCATAATGGGTATGTAGCAGTATGGCAAGAGTCCGTATGATCGAGGAAAACTCAGAAAACTGATTACATCATATTCTCGAAGAAAAGTCCGAATAAAACATGATGTGATCGACTGCCTCTTAGTCACATAGTTACTGAATAGGCAAAATATTGTCATTTTCTTGCGTCTTATTTGTTAGATCTAAAACTTTTTTGGTGAAGGATGCGACTTGCGTCGATCTGACCTGAATATTCCGGTACAAAATGTGCGTGTGTTGATCTTTTGGTGTGTAAAATATGTTTTTTGCTGAAAATCAGTTTCTGAGCTGATGTAAAGTTGAGAAAGCGATTGAAGGGACGAAAAAAGACTTTCCTTGTAGAGTTTCACGCAAGCTGTCGAATGAAATTGGAATTAAAGCTTCAAAGTTTTTCACACATGCAAAAATTAAATTTTAAATGGAAGACAGTATAATTTATTAATAGGGTTCGAGAAACTGTGATTAAAACAGTCAAAAAGTGGAATATACCGAAAGTTGGAATGCTCATTCTACAAAATATATTTTATCAATATAAACAAGAAGAGAATACTTTAAGTAGTGAGGTGTGTCGCCTATTGGTTACAGGCATTTACTTCCAAAATGAGTGGTCGCAGGTTCAATCTCTGCAGTGTTTTTAACAGGAATTTTTTCAGAGTGGAACTTTCTACGTTGCTGTTAGCGTCAAAACAGGATTTTCCACTTTAATATGGAATGTAAAGTGGAGAAAATGGGAACTGTTGAAATTTTTGTCTAATACCGGCTAACAGAGACATTTTTATCATCACAGGGGTTTCATTTTGTTACCTTCAGTTAAATGGACCAAATTAACTTCTCTATCCTGATCAATTACCAATTTATCAAGCAGAGTTTGATTATTGTAAGACGTTCTGTTGCCAGTCATCTTAGATGGCTCATTTAAAATAAAATGTAACTAAATTATTTAGCTGTAAGTTGAACACTTCACTTCCGAAGAAAAAGAAACGCTGCAAAACTTTTATACGTTTAGATAAACTCCACAAATTCTTTTTGACTAATATCCTGTTGATGTTAATCTTCAGACACTAGCCATGTCGTATCGTGATGAAAATTAGAGAATTAAACAGAAATTATCCTGCTTCTCCCACGCACATGTGTTCAACAAACAGAGATCGATAGGTTACTTTTCTAAGGCAGAAAAACATGAAAAAAAGAGGAAGTGGAAAACAAAGTGGGATATACTTTTCTCAGCGTGAAAAACAGAACGGAAATTCATTATTCAAGGCGGAAAACCATTTTGCTCTCGCTGCACAGTGGGCATTCAAGCGGACATTTGGCCAAAAAGTCGAAAATGAGCTTTTTCAAATTTGAACCGTCAGACATGTAGCTCTTGAAAAGGGCTATCGAATGGTGTATAATGATCGACTGATAATG